TACATAAAAACATTTAGTACTAGAAATCTATTTACAATCATGCAGGATATATATATATAGGTCCAAGATATTAAAATGCGAAAAGATATGCAAACTGTATGTATGTAGACAAGAGAGAATAAATAAGAGTGGGAGCTTGATAATAACATGTGCACCATGTAAATTTCTAGTTGGGTGGTTTTTAGTAACTGGATGCAGTTTAAATTTCGCCTTACCRTGTGCATCATCAACTTGTGTGCACTCRCTCTTTCCTTTTCGTTTTTAGTGATCAAAACAATAAACAGAAAGAGTGCACATGTGCAAGTTGATGATGCACAGGAGTAGGGTAAGACAGAATTTAAACTGYATCCTGTTACTAAAATTAGTCTAACCGGGAATTTAGATAGCACGTGCCTAATTTTTCCTCGCTTATTTATGCCCTCTTGATGTAGATTGCTCGCATTCTTGAAAAAACCTTGGAAATAATATTATAAGACTATTTTCAGGATTTTCTTTTTACTAGAATTCCTGCTATTAATTGATTTTGGTATTGAATTCATTTACGCAAAARGAAAGAAGGTAGCAGGATTTGGCAGCATTTTGTGTGCTCAAATGGAGTCGACTCCGTTCATTAATAAAGCACATCTCTCAAGCAATCAGTGTGCATATACTATCCTAACTTTATAAAAATATTCAACACTTTGCTCTTATTTTTGCAGGTTGTTTTCTGATTCCATATGCAATATGTCTATTTGTTGCTGGTGTGCCATTATTAATCCTTGAAGTTTGTTTGGGCCAGTTCATGAGTCAAGGTGGAATAACAGCATGGAAAATCTGCCCAATTTTCCAAGGTACCTTCTTTTTCTTTCTTCTTCTTTTTTTTTTTACCTTTTTTTCTTCATTATTTTTTCTACTCTTAATGTTCCTTCTTAACCTTATGTATTGTTATTCAAAACATCCTGGAGGTCGTTTCAGGGTTTTAATAAGTTTTTAATTTAAAATGAAAGAAAATTTGACTATGCCATACACTGTTAAGTTAAGTGCAAACATTTTTACCATAAAATGGCTTAATAGCTAAATAGAACTATTTAGCATAAAACCATTRTTTTCTGAATTGTTTAAGGACAATAATTGTGGGAAAATGTGAAGTAAATGTCAACGTTCTGAAAGTTTGCCAGTTGATACAACAATATAAAACACACAAAATATCCCCCCTTCACACACACACAMAATAGCCACCCCTTCAAAGGGGTCAAATTTTGTCACCTATGGTGATTTAAGTGACAAGTCATCAAGTCGGAAACAATTCCACATTATATGGTAAAAAGGAAGTAGGAYGTAATGATAATTTGTTTTCGAAATGGTTCTTTTCTATGAGACATTAAGACTAACACTTTTTTTTGGTTGAAGACAAAAACCAAAAAACTGTCACTTTTTGTCGTTTTTGCGTGTTGAAATGAAGCGAAAAATGTAAAGAAATTCATATTTTTAGCATTTCTTCAAATACATGAAATAAAAAATGGGGGTCAACGTTCGTTTTGAAGAGATATTTCAAGAGTTTGAAGAGGTTTTCTGGAGTGTTTTGCTCATCAAAACATTGGAATGATCTATCACAATAATTAATGCATGTAMACTAAACCCATGTGTAGGAAGGATGTGTGCAAACAATGTCTGCAAATGTTCTTAATTTGTGCTTTTTAGTACTAAACATATGCCATGGTTTTATTACGAATAATAATAATTTTCCCTAGGAATTGGATGTGCTAGTGTAGTGATTGTCCAGTATCTGAATATCTACTATATCGTCATTCTTGGATGGGCATTCTTCTACATGTTCCATTCATTCACGGCCGTACTACCATGGTCTCATTGTGGKAACAAATGGAATACTGCTGCCTGCTTTGCTGGCAAGAAGATGATAGAAGTAAATGTGACAATAAATGGAACTTTCAATGGAACCAAAACATTTGAAGATAACAGCACAGTCTCGCCCATTGTTGAGTTTTGGAAGTAAGAGAAACTTAACTTGGAACTGTTCATAACTGTTTGCTTAGGAAAGGGTGGACATTTTGATTGCCGTGGGACATGCAATAAATGTGGTCATACTTTTGTGGGTTGTGCTGTAGCATTATATGTTATACAGTTTCTAGTTGTAAAATTTAATTGAAATTTTATTTAGTCTGTAGAAAGCTTTCATTTACTAACATGGCTCAATTTGCACCTCATGGTGACAGTTGAATATATACAGCATACATGTAGATAACCAGTGTTCATAATACCAGGTTGACTTTTTATGGCAGCCTGTCAATTGGGTCACAGAATAGTCTCAGTATCGACCAGTGTTTATATTTATTATTGATTACATTTATTGATTAAAAACCTATGGGTTTAAAATTTATGATAATGAGAAGGCAGTGGTTATTGCATTTTTTTAGTGTATGAATCAAATAAATCTGGTTCTGGATAATAATCAATAGAGGCAGGCCGAGGGTCTTCTACTCAATTTAGGGAGGAGGGGTTACAATATTGTCAAGGCAAAGATAATTTCTGGTTACTTTAAGTCTTGATTAAATTACATTGTTTGGTTTTATCTACAACAGCAATCGAGTGCTCAACATATCTAATGGTCTTGATGAGGTCGGCAGTATCAACTGGGAGATGGCTCTCTGTTTATTGCTCTCATGGATTGTCTGTTATTTGTGTGTATGGAAGGGAGTCAAGTCAACAGGCAGAGTAAGTGTCATGTAGTGCTGTAATGCAACCTAACATTATTGACRTACCGMAGTGCTTCTTGACACTTCTCGAGTGTTATGCCACTCCTCAAGTGCTTTATAACTCCACACATCACAGCAAGCAAGTTTTTTATTTCTTTTATAAAATATGAATTAAAATAACTGTTATTTTGGATAGGAATGAGGCAACTGAAAATCTGCGTGTGTGCTGTATGCTCTTTTAAAGCATGCGCTCCCAACGAATCAGACCAGATTCATAATAGTTATTTTATAATACCCCATATTTACAGCACTCACTCACCCAGGTATATATTATGATAAACCCATGGTAATAACAATTGTATTTTGTAAAACAGGTTGTGTACTTCACAGCAACTTTCCCCTATGTTCTCCTAACTATCATCTGTGTGCGTGCTGTTACTCTTCCTGGAGCAGCCACTGGAATCAAGTATTATCTTCTTCCTGATTGGTCTAAGCTACAACAGGGACAAGTATGTACATTTTAAATCATACAAACGTGTACGCCGTTATTGTACAGTAAAAACCTGCGTATAAGAACCTAGGTTTTTTCGAGTTAGCCTAAACAGGTTCTTATATAAATGGTATTTAGTGTTAAATTAGGCTAACTAGGTTCTTAATTAGGTTCTTAACGTTTGTTCAAGAAATAAAATAAAGTTTCATTTTAAGTTGGATTTTTTTATTTTAAGTTGGATTTTTTTATTCAATGAGGACATGTTCTTTACAGTAACCATATACAGTTATAGTGTTTATAGCATTATTGTGCATAGACTGTGTTATAAATATATTTTTGAAAAGATTGATTCTATTTTTTTTTCTTTTCTTTTTTAAAAATAAGAACCTGTTTTAGGATTTTAGCCTTAAATGGTTCTTATGTGAAGGGTGCTTAAAAATGACATTTTAGCCTAACAGGTTCTTAAATTTTAGGTTCTTATACACGGGTTTTTACTGTATAGTAAAATGTTGTATAATATCTATCCTAAAATAAAACATTAATAACAAAACTTCTTTTCATTTTTTTCTTCCCCATTTATAAGTAGATTTCAAAGTAAGCAATTTTAAGACAGTATAGAAAATACATTTATTGGATAACAGCATCAACTTATCCACTGGATAAGGATTTATCCGCAGGATAGCGCTATCCAGGCTTTGTACAACCGGGCCCTGTTTTTTACATGCTTATAATCCCCAGTTCTAGTGAGGTTGGTCTGTTACTGTGCCGTTATACCAAACAAGGCCATCCAAACAAATTTTCATACAAATTAACCAATCACGATTGAGTATTTAAACAWTGGAATTAAATTTTTACATTTYCCCCTTTAATTTTCATTTGATTGGTCAATTAATGACRTTTATTGTTATGGTGATAAAAAAAAACAAAAAGCCTAAGGGGAGGGGAAATTTTTTCTGGCGCAACCTTTTTSGGGCGGTTTCGGGCGTCATAGGAAATACAGACGGTTTTTGTTATGGGCGGTTTCAGGCATCATAGGAGTCGAAGGGTAAAGTTGGGTGGATAAAATCAGAAGTTTATGTATTTTTTATGATTTTTGATTCATTGCTTCGTCGAAATATTGACATTTAAACTTGTCTTCCMAGGTTTGGCTCGATGCAGCTACTCAAGTGTTTTTCTCCTATTCAATTGGCCTTGGAACTCTTGTTGCTCTTGGAAGCTACAACAAGTTTAAGAATAATTGTTACAGGTTTGTAACRGCTTTAATATTATTTGCACTGTCTTTCAAGAAAATTATTTACATAATTATATAATTACACATTAGTTCATATTTCATGATATTTCTGCTTTTTTATATACCTATTCCTGTASCTTCTTCAATAATTATATTTTTTGATAACTATTATTACTCTTATAAGGCTAATTATAACTTTAAAATAGAAGTTATGAGAAAAACTAGTGACAAAACCTTACAATGTTTTGAAGATATCTTGTCATCATTATCAAGTAAAGTAAAAAGAGTGAACATGAATGGAAATAAACTAGTTGTGAATTATCAAGAAAAATAGTGTTCAATTAGAAAATAGCACAAGGTGTAACTTAAGTAAACACTGGAGTGCAGATGGAATCCGATKGAATATAAAAATTTGGGATTGTCCTTTTAATCAGCAACATCTCAACGATTAGACAGTTGAGTTTTCCTTTTCTTTTCCTTCTTGAGGATGCATGGAAGTTGTCAGTCAGAACCAAGGCTGGACATTATGATCTGCTGGTAGATGTTTTCCAATTGTAGAGAATCTGTGCTCGTTAATCCTTTGGTGTGGGTCATATAGCCTATGTATTCTGCATCACACACATGACATTTAAACTTGTAGACTACACATTGTTGGCTAAGCAATTAGGGTTTAGGTTCTCTGACCCTGAGAGCTACCATCACCAATTTTGTGGTTTCCATTGAAATTTGGTTTTTCGCTGTCGTCAATCAAAAATAGTCAGTTCCTTTTATTTTGTTGACTAGCGGCAGTAAAAAACCAATTTCACAACAAGCCGTTTAAATGTCTGAGTTTGCAGAATACGGGAAAGCGCAGTAATATGAAAGCTGCAGTAAATGGTGGCATTGGCCTAACACCGAGCATTTATTTACATAATAATATTTTGCTCAGAGACATTAACAAAATTTTTCATACATTTACAGCAATGCCAGCTTACTATGGATGTATTTCAACTGTAAATTATCCTTGATTCTTTAGGGATTGTATCATCTTTGCATGTGTGAACAGTGGCACAAGTTTTTACGGAGGATTTGTGATCTTTTCTGTACTGGGATTCATGGCTGAGAAGCAAGGAGTTAGCGTTGGAGATGTAGCCGAGTCAGGTAAAGTGAAATATTTTTGTTCAGTATCAAATGTTGCATTGATATAAAAGGTAAGTTATATTACCTATGTAAGGGTATTAAAAGCCAAAACTTTAATGTACTTTAACCTTTGAAAAATATGTACAATAATTGTACATGCTGGTGAATATGAACTGAAATGAATTGATAATAGTGTGTGCGTAAGTAATAGTGTGTGTTTAATGACATGCACTAAGCATCTGATAGCATTGCAGGTAAATGCTGGTAAAATTAGTACCATGTGTGAGGCATTTAATTCAAGTAAAGAGTGTTCTGATGCAAACAGGGTTTGTCTTTATGGACTGTAGACTGTATTCTTGTTGTTTTTTAATGGAAGGATTAGGAGTTTTGTCCTCAGGGCACTCCTGAAATCCAGGTGAGTTTCAACTTTAACATTTTTAATCCTAATTCTTTCATTATGAGGGACAAGAAGACAATTGAAAAATTAAAACCTAATTTTTCTCATCTCAGAAGTATAATTAACTTTCTATGAGACTAAGGTTGTATAAGATAAAAATGTCAAGGCTTCATAGTTCTTGTTTGAACTCACCAATCTCAGTGGTTAGCTAGAGAACACTTCATGCTTCTGCTGGTTAACCTCTTGAAAAATTCTAAGTGAGTAAATTTAGATTGTTGAAAACAAAAAAGCCTGATCAATATTAATAGTTGCAGAAGCTTGAAAACAACTTTAGTTTCAAGCAATTTGAATGTGAAGTCTATTTAGATTGTATAAAGATGCCCCTAATAACACAAAGACAAGCCTTGTCTGTTCAATACACAGTATATAACGAGGTATAATAACCGTGCGGTAAAGAACACACCCAATGGTGTGAATTATGGTATTGTTTTGCTGATGTTGTTCACTATGTAGGTCCTGGCCTGGCCTTTATTGCGTATCCTGCAGCTGTCGCTGAGATGCCCATTTCCCCGCTTTGGTCCATTCTGTTCTTCTTTATGGTCATTCTGCTGGGATTGGATAGCGAGGTATTTTCGAGCAACTTGCCAAGAAAATTGGCTGTTGCATTACAGAATCTTTTTAGAGAAAGTGAGAGAGCAACTTTGCCTCTTGCTCAAGTAACAATTTAGTAAAACCTGCTGCCATTGAATGTGGGTGGCTTGAAAACTGAAGCTGTGGGTTACATCCAATAAGATGAGTTAGCCTAGATTTAAGTTCATTGAATATCTTACTTAATAACATTGTAATGATAACCAATTTAGGTTTTATCAAGCTAAGTAAGACCTAAAAGATAAAGACTTAGATAACAATCTTGATTTAAACTCGGAAATATATTATGCACAAGAAAAGTTAATAATAACTTCTTCAAAATTCCAACACAATGATTTCGCTTCATCCTGAGTGAGACTGAGGACAACTGAGTGTTGGTTTGTGTAAGAGCGTTTATATTCAGTTTGATTGGAGGACCATACTGATTGGAGCCAAGTAATGTTATTACATAATTTCTTGATATAGGGGCCCAACTTTAAAAGTCCACTTTTTGTGACTTGCTTATTATATCACCTGACATAATGGGTAATAGTCAGAGTTCTCTCCCCTCATGAATATGACCTCAGTGGCATTAATTTTCTCAAACTCTGCATCATAATTGAAATTAGGAGTAGACCTTTCCTGTGCTATTAGTTTGTTTTTCTGGGTTCTCTGCTTTTTTCTCTTAAAATTATAGCTATATTATAGTTAATTCATAAACTCCAGTGTAATATTTATCCAACAGAACTTTAATTTTTTCTCATACATTTGCCCATTACTTTATGCTACATTTACTTACTTTCAATGTTATTTGTGACTGCAGAAAAAAAAGAATATTTTGCAAACCAATTGCCTTTAATTTTTTTCAAAATATTAATTATCATAATTATAATAGCTTAATGCTATTGATAAAGAATTAAAAGCTATTAGGTTATCAATTGGTTTCCAAACCTACAGTAAGTAATCACTTTTTTGAATTATAGCATAAAGAAATCTTATCAATGTAATCTATATGAATAATTTGTGAATTATTTTATGATATATGAAATCTTAAATTGAATATGGTATTGTGTGACTATTAATGTTGCTAATGGATATCATTTAAAATCAAAATACATTTCAAAAATAATTATATTATTTAGTATTTAGTATCTTGATATAACATTACTTTATAATAGTTGCTGTTAGATATCAAGTTGTACACACTGTATATAATGCAATTAACATAAATTGTTTGATTGCACACTACATCATCATGGCCTCTAGGGGGAGCTTTGGTGCCATTTAACAAAAGATTTCTCAGCATTCATTTTTAACAACACCAAAATGGCAGCCATGTTGTTGTCTGTTGACCCTTGGGAATGCTTGTAACCCATCAATTAATGTCAATCAAAAGATTTCTTAATAAGACCTGATTTTGTCGATCAAAACAACTTTGTTATAAGCAGTAAATGGTATAGTTTCAGCCATGATATTAGATTCTTTTGCGTTTCAGAGTTTTCATCTTTCCCTTTTGTACAAAAAATAAATATATTTTGGTCTCATCACAAATAAAAAAATAGGAATAACTGGTTGTAACAAATAAACACAATCACTATGAGCTATTTTTTTCTTACTAATACATAATTTTTCAAAGCACAAATTTACTAGCCTTTTTGATAGCCAAATATTTATCAAAAATTCTCATCTGATCTTAAAATTATAAAATTATTAATGATGCAAACATCATTAATAATATTGTACTCCAGAGAAATACCTCATAGGAACAAAAATAATTCTATGTTTAAAGATATTAAGTTATTGGTTATCAGTATTTGTAGAATAATTTCTATATTGTTATAAACTGGATCATGGATTAAAGACGAACTTTGGTAATAGCTTAATCTTAACTGGAGCATTGTGCAAAACTAACGACTAACCCTGATACTTATTGAGTAGTGTCATTATATAGAGAAACTTGGAATTGATATTTCTATTTAAGTATCATGCTAAAGATAAGGGAACGTAATCCACAGCTTTAGGACAGAAGGGGTACACCACTTTTGTCCAGTCACCTACAAACATTGGTTTTTCATTGTGCTCAGGGGTTTCTGCAGGGAGACTTTCTCAGGATAACCCAAAAGACAATTTCTCAAATGCTCTGACGGTTCGCTCTGACATGCTTAATGACCTCAAACAGTCATATTAAATAAAAATTTTAGTACCAGATTTTTAAAGGAACTTAAGGGATGATCGGAACTATGGTATTGGCTCTCCAAAGGTCCGTTCATTACAGATTACAAAAGGCTGCAGTTACCTTGGTGATGATTGGGGAAGGACACAAAAAGACTAATCTAGAATTCTGAAATTCAGGGTTTTTCAGGTTCTATATTATTTTTTACATTTCGTAAGAAAATTTTTGAAAAATTAAAGAAAAGACTCTGTTTGTTCCATGTTCAGATAACAGAAGATCCTTTTGAATCGATAAAATTGTTCTGACTTGTACTGATGAAGTTCCTGTGTTCAATCATTAATATGGCTATATCAATGTTCTGTCAAATTTTGAGCATTATTTGAAAGAAAGAAAAATCAAGAATTGAATGAATTGAATTTTAAACTACATGCCATGCGATTTTTTTCATTTCTTGGGTTTCTGAGATGCGGCGTTACTTCCTGCCGATTCAGCTGAGCACATACAAACACTGATTATTTTCAGTGTGCAATTATATTAATCTGGTACATTAAGAGTTATCGCACCAAAAAGTATTTCTAACTATTTCATTCTTCAATGACTTGGACTTCAAAACACAAATCACTGAAAGCATATCCCAAAAAACCAGCATCTTATCTACATTAGTTTGGCAATCAGTCTTTATGGAACTACCATACACAGATGCAAGTTCACTTGGCTAATCAAGAAAAGAGCTTTTTCCCTTTGAAAATTTCAAAGTGGGTTGGGTGGCATGCATTCTAATTTTCTGTATGTTGGAACTGTTTTTACCAGTGTCTTTTGAATACAGATCAAACTGGAAATCCTGTACTTTATGACTAGTTAACACATGTCCGATAACAATCACCCAACTCACGGCCATGCATAATGAGTCTTCATTGGCCCACAGTCGGGCAATTGTTGACTGAAACGTGCCCATTGGTCATAAAGTACATGATTACATGATTTGCACTACAAAGATATTCAATTTTCATTCTTGACAAATCTACAGCATTAATCACCCATTCTTTGTTTTTTTCTTTTTACCTTTTTAATGATATAATCTTAACACCGAAGGAAAGAGGAAATTGTTAATGATATGTGTCATCTCTTTTCAGTATTATTGATTTTAATGAATTATTACCTCAATATTATGATACTGTCACTACAGTTTGTGCAAAGTTTAATGTGTAAGCTATTTACCCTTGCCTCCGTTATGCATCCTGATTTCTCTTGAATGGTGCTTGAATCATTGAGAGGATTCTAGGATTACCCTCAGTATTTCTACTCAATATCATCATTAATTATTATAAGCTACTCCTTCATTTTATCCTAAATTAGATGCGATTTATTTAATGGGTCATTTCTTGCATGTCAAGTTGATTAAYGTTATAATAGTTCAAACTATTACAACAAATAATATCATCTTGTGACATACCAGCTATCTATTTATTAATACTTTATCACTTGTTATAGTTCATTTATTAGAATATCTCATGTATTTTATGCTCTTCAAGCAATATTCCAACTGTTATATGCTCTTATTAAAGGTTAATGGTTGACCAGGTTACACCCTTGCTGACGACATCTCATCATTTGTTCCCTCTTTTTCATTCTATTACTGATTTGAACTTTCATAATTTAATCTATATGTACTTGTTCTGTCTTTAATTCTAAATGTTGTAACAGTTAATATTTATTAATTTTACTAACCTTATGAAATAAACATTATACTACTTTTGTACTCTATAATTAGTAAACAAATGAATGTAAAATTAAATAACACGCTCTTTTCAATAATAGGACAACTAACAATCTAATGTTTGGCCAATGTTCAGAGCAGAAGATCTTGATTTGCTAGTACCAAGCAATCAGTCATTTTAGATTCAGGCAGCTCATTAACATATTGTGCTTGCTCATGCTCATTTTTCATTGATTTTTCCCGATTCCCTGCAAGTTTAACATTAATGTGAATGGTTCTTAAATTTGAACATACTCAAACTAATATTGATCACTTTTCTTACAAACGATTTTTCAATGCTATTATTGCAGCCTTGATTGATTTTTTAAACAGAGGCACATCAAACATCTTATGATCATTTTTATTTAGATTTTTTTTTTTCATTTTGTGCTATTTCCTACAGAGGAAAGCCTTTCTTGGTAGCCTGGTAAACCATTAGACACCTTTAATGTGAAGCGCAATGCAGTAGATGATGAGAGTTTCTTTTCTGTTTTAGTTTGTTGGAGTGGAGGGCTTTGTGACAGCCATAGTAGACATGTTCCCGGGGTATCTTAGACGTGGATACCGTAAAGAGATTTTCATCGGAGTGATGTCAACATTCTGGTTTTTTATGGGATTATTTATGGTCACAGAGGTAAATATCTCTTACCTTTTCATACCTTTTCTGACTTTCTTTTGTGGAAATGATGTATGCTGCACCAAAATTTGTTCATGTTCCTATTAAACTACCCATCCAACCACATGACCAGCCATGTAACCACACCCATGTTCCTACCAAACTACCCATCCAACCACATGACCAGCCATGTAACCACACNTGACCAGCCATGTAACCACACCCATGTTCCTACCAAACTACCCATCCAACCACATGACCAGCCATGTAACCACACCCATGTTCCTACCAAACTACTCATCCAACCACATGACCAGCCATGTAACACCTTCAGTTGCAGTTGTAACATCTAGTTGCATGTCCCAATATCCTCCTACCAGTATGATATTATTACTTACCATAAAACAAACCTCTATTACAGTGTGAATCAAAAAACCATGGGCACCTAGAAATATTCTAGGAATGTTCTATTCTTCTCTGGCCAATTAGAATTGACTTTCTAACCACAAGGTAATGGAAAGATAATAATCTTCTGATTGGCTATTGAACATTCTTGAAATATTTCTAGGTGCCCATGGTTTTTTGATTCACACTGTAAATGGACACCCTTTATTAAACAAACACCAGACAAGGACCTGAAGGCACCTGCTTAATAAAGGTACCATTATATTTACTATTATGAACATCTCACCTTCTTTGTCTAGGGTGGCATGTATGTCTTCCAGCTCTTTGACAATTACTCTGCTAGTGGTAGTGCGCTACTGTGGGTGTCTCTGTTTGAGAGTATAGGCATTGGATGGATTTATGGTATGTTTTGGGTGGATTTAAATACACATCTAGCTGTCTTCTAGTTAAATAAGCAGGTGACATTCGGTTCCTTCAAACCTGAGCCTGATTAAAGAGAAATAGAGATCAGAAGAGTTTATATTGCAGGGTTGGGAACGTTCTGGTAGGCTCTTCCATGAGGTTCCCTCTAGACACTACCTCTACATTCTATATATTTTACAACATACTTTACAACCACCACTACACGGGGCTCTTCCATAAGGTTCCCTCCACACACACTACCTCTACATTCAAGATTTACATCATACGACGCTCAACCACAGGCAGCCCAAGCTTGGTTTCTGTACCCGTGAAATAAAGCAAATTTTACCTGATCATTGAGAGGTAGCACTTCTTTTGCTCTGTGTGGTTATTTTTTGAATTTAGCCTGTTTTAAGRATTTTCCCCCCACCAGTAAGAAATAAGAGAAGATTGGTGACTTGGGATCCCAACAGCCAACCATCATGAGTCTTTAAAACCTCGTAGGTCTTTTTCCAGCACCAAATTTTTCCAGCACCAAATTTTTTTTTTGATCTTCCTTTCCAGCACCAAATTTTAGTCATAATTCCTCTCTCACATCCCTATAGAAAGTCGAATTAGAGATTAGTTGTTGCATCTTTAAGCCATGAAATTTTCCTGTATTCACATACTACCTCGCTTGTTCTGACCCGTACTTGGAGCTCACTGTACAGGAGTTCAACAGATTATATTGGCAACTGACCCAAGGCCATGATGGGAGTTTTAGAATCGACACCTCACGGGTGATTTATTAAAATTTTTGAAGAACCTGGACCACAGCGGTGAGAGGCAAGTCACGCATGCAACCTATAAAGTTTGACAGAGCTTGCTGCATTATAAGACTGCACTGGAGAGGCAGATGGTTCATACGACAAACTTCATGTGCCAATCCAAAATGCATAAATTATGCAAAATAAACATTTTCTCAGCCTCATTATCACATAAAAAATATAAATTAATCCTAACCATTAAGTTCCCAGTCTGAATCAACAGTCAACCACTGGGAGTTGACTCTTAAATTGTTTAAGGTATGGCAGTTACATTAGTAGAGTGGCATATGGAACAAGCTGCACTTTTGTACCCAAAGCCTCGTAGTGAGACTAAGCCCCCAAAATCTGTTAAAACGTGTTGTGCTAATGATACTGGTAATGTTCCAGGTGCCGAACGCTTCTATCAGAACATTCAAGAAATGATTGGTTTCAGGATCAATCCCTGGCTGAAGATGTGCTGGATTTTCTTTACCCCCGTATTCTGTCTGGTAAGGACATCAGGGTTATTGATCATATATCCGTTCCTATTTATGATGAAGAATTTCATTGAACTCCCTGAAGATGGATGCTAATGTCTGAAAGCTCAGAAATAAATTACTTTTGGTTGAAGAAACATTTAGTTTACAAGCATCCTTTTCTTTACTTTCCATAACGGAGCCTTAACATAAGAGAGACAATGAAACACTATGTATTTCCTATTGGGGTCCTACCTACCAGGATACTCATTCAAGATACCTAGACAAGCTTCCCCCTCAATATTCGTATAGCTAATAAACTGATAGTCATCTGGTTTTTGAGATATGGTTTTATATTACAAAAAATAAAAATATAAGCTTTGTTAGCTTTTTGGCATGGAAAAAGTTATTGGCCAAACATTTTGTCATTCAATTTGACAATTACATTGCATGAAATTTCACCAGCTTATGACAACAAAAAATGCACTAGAATGTTATGAAGGCAATTCATCCTGGATTATATTTATCTGTGAGAAAAATCACCCATTTTTGTTTTGTTTTTTTCGACTCTTTAGGCTATTTTCATCTTCACACTTGTGACCTACGAACCTCTGGTGTACAATAAGACCTACAAGTATCCTGCATGGGGTGAAGCTATTGGCTGGTGTTTGGCCATGTCATCTATTATCTGTGTCCCTGTCGTTGCTATTATCAATATGATGAGGGCTAGTGGAGACTTTATTGATGTAAGTCACAAGTAATACCTGATACCAAGGGCAGATCCAGCCAAAATTTTAGGGGGGGGGGGGGCTAATGGAGTTTAGGGGGGGCTACTTCTGGGTTTTTTCTGTCAACACAATGGAAAGCAATGAAAAAAGCATCTAATTCTTCAGTTTTTTTTTGTTTTTGTTTTTTTCCTGCTGAAGGGGGGCTTCAGCCCCCCTTTGCCCCCCACCCCCGGATCCGCCCTTGGATACAGTATGTTAATCAATGAGGAAAGGAAAGATGAATAAATCAATAGATACACAAGTAGTAAATAGGTTATTAAATTGATTCTGAAATCTGGTTTGTCAAATGGTTTGCTGTGAAAGAATGAAAGCCTGGATGAATTGGCAAGGAATGGATGGTTGAATGAATGGGATAAGTAGATAAGTGGATTATTTATGAAAAAGGGAACAAATTATTAAAAAAAAAAGTAATGAATAGATRAATAAATGGCAAATGAATGCATGGTTCAATGGCAGAAGTAGAGGAAGAATAATTCGTGTTGTAAGGATGAATGGAAAATTAATAAGTGATAATAAATAAGTATTGCATGTAAAAATGATTAATAACTGTGTTGCTGTTGACTATAGGTTTGTTTAGAATTTCGTAAGTTTTTAAAGGACTGAAATTAAGCACTTGGCTCTGAGTCATCTACTGTAAACCATAAAAGTACTATGTTTGTGGAAATATTGCAGTTAGTAGCTTGAGTCAAGATAGTGATAAGATCCTAAGCTATTTCCTTTTTCAATTTCAGCGTTTGAGGGTTGTAACGACACCAGTACTACCCCCTGGCCGTGGTGTGCCTTATGCAGACAACAACCCTTTGAAATCACCTGATGTTGAAAAGAAAGATGTCATGGAATTCAATACTAAGATGTAAATAATGAGTACAATCGAAACTGATCACTTCACTCTTTTAACCGATATTTAACCAACTAACTTGTATAATCCCCTAATTTTGATGCAATTCCTTACAGAAAATACTTGTAGCATACTGGTTATTACTGAAGATGAGTATCACATCCCATTTATTGACACCAAAATGCTAGCAATTCTAACTCCCTATTTCACTGGTTATCCTTGATTCCATACGTTTGAATCTTTTCTTCCCAAGCTGCTCATAAATAGTATACTTAACCAGTATCTGTAGGTGTTTTCAAGGTTTATGCACATAATACTAATATTAACCTTCCTCCCTACAACCTCAACAGAATCAATAGAATCAATCAATTTCAATTTTTATTAGGTTTATAAGTGAAATATCTGCACTTGATTTAAACAAAACTTGAATAATATTAGTTTAAAATAGTCATTACTAATAGTATCACAACTCAGCTTAAAATATCACCCAGTACAGAATCAAAATCTTTACTAGTTACCTTTCCAGATTAATGGACAGTTTAATTAATTGGCTGGATAATTGTGCTGCATATGCAAATTTTAAGCTAATGATATGATCAACAAGAAAAAAAGGACCTATTTGCCGTTTTCAAGTTGTAGGAGTGCATTGCTGGTTTGGGGCTGGTTTGAAGGACATTTCATCAAAAGACCTAATTCGTTGCATTACGATGTTTTCCCATTTCAGACCACGCGCCATTCCCAAGAGYGGCATTTCTTTGTTTAACRGTTGCACTCGGTTTCATATGAGAAGGCACACGAATATGGATAAAAACAAAACAGAGAATCATATTCTCTCGTGAATAACACGTGGTCTGAAATGGGAAAACATCGTAACACAAAGATTAGGTCTATCAATGTCAAGTGAAAAAAATGCCATAAGTACTAATGCTTGCCCTAAAACAGCCCGTGATGCAACACACTCTGCAACTTCAGAACAGCTTATAGACCCTTTGCATAAATTTATTAACCATATGTATAATTAGGAAAAGTACTAAGCCTCTGTGTGCAAAAAAAACAACAACAAAAAAAAGGTTTGATGAACCATTTTTTATTGCAAGTCCTAAAATGCATCTGCATATGATTAGTATATTTATGCAAAGTGTCTATGTGCGCTTGAAGTTTGAAAATAACTGGATTTTAAAAAATCCTTGGAATTCCAAACTGAATTTTTTATATTCTGTTGTTTCCAAACTGAATAACATGTACATGTAGTCCTCTTGGATATACGTCTTATACACTTTTACTATAATTATTTTATTAATTACCTGGCATTCGATTTGTTAATTTATATTTGTTTAATCTTTTTCTTTATTATGCTATTTTTAAGATATTAACTATTAATAATAATATAGTTCACATTGACACTATTCACACTATCACATAAATAAAAGTTAATGCTATCCACCCTTCGTACAACTGGGCCCAGCAGTGTAAAAGCTAAGATGCATTTGATGCATTGCAACAAAGTCACAGAACAGCTTTTTTAATTTGCAGCATTGCCTTATTTATTGTTGCTTGTATTGCCACTCAACAATCTTATTTTTTTGCGTATAATATTTAATTGCACTGGAACAGATTTAGCACGATGTGGAAAATGTACAACGCAGAGATCATGTGCTTGCCATGACTTTACCACAGCCATCGGTTTTGGCTTCACAGAGAATCCCTGCAAAATGTCTATCAAATGCATGCTTTTATTTTTCACAATAATATAATGTTCCTAGATTTTTGCTATTCCTGGGATTCACTTGTTGTAGGATTCAGAATTGCTACAACGTCTCTGAAGACTAATACAAACACGTACTCAGAGAATAGAAATCATCAATCCAATTTATTATTTATTCACCAATAATGTAAATGTATGTTAGGTACTATAAATTAGCATGCCACTCATCAAATACTGAAGTATCTTGAGTTTAATGTAGAGATGTTTCATTGTAGCCAGTCTGCATGGTGGTGGGCACAATGCATTGTTTATTCGTAAAAAGAGATTTCATCTCCTGAAGAAGAAAATCTGCTTTATTTTGACTTTAAATGGCTGCAGTGAACTCGTCTATTTAGGACCTTAGACACAGGATATTGTCAGTATTGAATTTTGTTAATTTGATCAAAAGTGTTTCCTTTTCATCTTGTATTTCAAAACCCACAAGATTTCTTGTCGTACAAAAAGAAATCAAAAACTTGTGGAAGTGTGTAGCACAGTAAATAATATCCGACTCTTCCAAACCATATAAAGTGCAAACACGATCCATGAATCAGTACTAACTTTTTTGTACACTAAATAATGCAACGTCTATTTATCCTTGCTATTTAGTATACTGCTTTTTTAGGGGCGGATCCGGGGGCGGTAAAATACCCCAATTAGCTGAAATTTTTCAGTATATCGTGAGTAACAGTCAACCCCCTTTTCCTTGAATTCCTGGTGAAACCATTGTTAGTAATAGTCACCCCTCTTCTAAAGTTCGTGGATCTGATGTTTGCACTCTATCCAATAAAGAGATTCCAAATTTTTTTTGGTTTTTTTGGAAGTAGAGGATATCAATAGAGTAGTCGATTGTCAAAGGCTAAGCCACAGAGTGATACTAGAGTGCAAACAATCCGTGAAACACTAATTACTAAATAGTACA